CGAGGCCTTTTGCCAGCCTGGCGAGCTTCTTGTCTGGGTTGCCCCGCACCTGGAGATGCCAAGGCGACCACGGGGCCGCTGGATTGTCCGGCAGCTTGCGAGTGTGTGGTGATGCTCGGTATCTCGACTGAGGTGGCTGTTAAGAGGTTCTTGATGCGGCTTCGTTTTGTCATCTCTTGTTCCTCGGTCAGCCGAATTAGTGGCACGTCCGGTAGAGATGGGTCCGGAGGAGGTGCTGGAGCACGGAGAAAGTCTGTAACTTTGCTCTGGCATGGAGCTGAGTATCTGTAGGTTGGAGTGTAGCTGAGCAACTCGTTACAATCTCGGTGGCTTTAACGGAGCACGGTTCGGATGGCTTCAATGTTGGGATATTGGTAGTTGGATTGCAAGGCTTGAATTGCTGCAAAAGAAACATGAAAAATAGTAAGTACAGAATGTTGAAGGCAGGGACTTAACCGAGCAAATTAGCGCGGCTTACATGTGGAACCAAAGTTCTTGCTAATGAATCAGCCCGGTACGTCGACTGTTTCATAGTTGCCAGACACCCAGAAGAAGTCGTCATCGTGTAAGTCCTTGTCCGGGGTGCCGGTTACTATCTTCTCTTTGCCCGGTCTTATTTTTAAATAGTAGGCCAGGCCATCACCGGTGTGCCCAAGGGTGTATTGTCGTAGTATCTCGGCTAAACCTAAGTTTGTTCCTAGTCGGTTGTTTAGTTCGTGCACGCCATTGATTATTCGGTAGGTGTTGGTCGAAACCTGGGTGGGTGCTAGCCCGGTGTGACGCAGAAATTCGGTCATCAAAGGGTTGACCGGGAAGCGGAGGCCTCCTTCAATTACTGATAGCACGGTGAAGGGGCATTGGTCAAGCCTGCCCTAAGGGGTTGTTTCCATCTTGGCGAGCTCTATGTGGACGTCTGCTAGGATACCGTATTCGTCCCTGAAGGCAGCCAAGGCAGTAGGTGTGTCCATAAGGAAGTGGAATTTTCCCATGTTTGACTGACTAATCTAGCTCGACTGAGGTGGTTTGGCACAGGCTGGGAATTAATGGTTGCTCGGTCCTTGAGAGCCTCAAGATTGGTCTTTGGTCCCCTTGGACTCTGCAGGAAAACGGAGGGTAATTGTAAGTGGGAGCGCGGTTGCACGAAACGAGTTAGAGTTGAGCTCGGTTGTGGATTATGCCAAACCACCTCGGTCGTAAATGTTAGCCAAGAAGCTCGGTCGCCCGAGCGAACCAGAGATTAGCCCGGTCGAGCGGCTAAGCCCTTTTTGCTACCCCAATTTCTCCTAAGGTTGGGACAAACTATAGATTTGCAAGGTTTGAGTGATTTTTTGGATCGAATGAAGATCTGGAGCCCGGTCCGCCCCAGATCTTCATTGTTCATCAGGAAAATTGAAGAACAGTGAAGAAGCTAAGGGGCATTGAGGGTTTTGGGTGGGGGAGGCCCTAAAACTACGAATTTGGTGCTATAGAGAACAAAAATATGAAACGAAAACAGTAATAACAAGGGTTTGGAGAGCTTACCAGGAGAGGGCAAAGTCTTCTTCGAAGACGAACTCAGCAATGACAAGCAAACGTTAGCAAAAGCTCTGGATCGGCAAGGAGGAGAGAGAGTCGTTAAGGTTGAAATGAACGAAGGTTCAATATGTTTATAGAGATGAATAAGACCGCCAAAAATTTGAATCTGAACGGACGTGATGTTTGGCTGCTTGAGGCCAATCAACCCACGACACGCGTCCCTATTGACGGCGGCGTTAGTACTGAAGAGACAGGATGGTGAATCCAGGCATCGACCGGACAAGTTTTGAAGACAGGCATGTCAAGTAGCCCGGTCACTTTATTGCGAAGCGAGGACCGAGGAAGTGTTACCCCGGTCAGATTTGGTAATCCCGGTCACGCTTGTGCGGACGGAATTAAGGGGCAATTGAGAGGGAGAATTACGAGCTAGTTATGGGCCGAGTTAGAGACCGAGCAAATTGGAGGCCCAATGGTGCGTTGGGCCGCAATAACTTTGGATTTGCCCGGAGTTGGGGCTGTTCAGAGATGGACCGAGCCACTTGGATTTGCGCAGGTGATAATCGCGCAACTTGCGTTGCTCGGTCAAGGGCTCGCACCGTTAGCCTGGTCGAGAAGCTTATGCCAGAAGCCCGGCTGGATGGCCTTTGGTTGACCGGTACGACCAGTCTGAAGGTCGGCTCCGCCGGAATGCTGCTGAGCATGGCTGGAAAGGATCTCAGTTCTTGGAGCAATTGGGCATGGAACACAGCATGGCCGTTGACAGCCGAGAAGATTCAGCCCGGCTGCCGAGCTCCCAGTAGAATGGGCAGGCAGTCGGGTTAGGTGATGTTCAGCAAGATTTGTGCTGACAGATGGGATAGCAGAACCACGTGTTGAGAAATCACTGGGAGTAGATTTGGGACACAGAAGGTATATAAGCAAGTTTGTGCCCCTCCATGTCAAGGGGACAAAAAATTGGGTAAGAGAAATATTTACACTCCATTCACTCCTCATTCTATCTATCCTCAGGTGTGTGCTACCTTGATCGTCGGAGGGGTTTTCCGGCCACACACCGCCGGATAGCTCACCGTTGTTGTGCACACAGGTGATCGGATAGAAACGGAGCTCGGAAGCTAGGAGTGCGGGCTTGCCTGAATATTTGCTCCCCGCACATATCTTAAATAGGACCTAATAGAATACTAAAAAAGAATATGAGTTAAATGGAACAGAAGTTTTTAAAATGAGATTTACTAAAAAAGCTAACATAAAAATAAAATGAAAAGTATAATTTTAAAAGTTAATGATCTGTTTTTTTTCTAATGATAAATACAATAAAATTACATAATAACAATAATTGAATCAATTCTATTTTTATCATTGATGATTTTAATTTCAAAATACGGACATAATACTTAATAAATATTTCGTAAGAATCAAATCCACCACATATTTAAAAAATACTTTGTCTTACTTCTAAGAATATACTGGAAGATCCTTGTATGCTCACTTGATTAAAATACTTGTAAAAACTGAAAAATCCTTTTGTACTCCTTGATTAAAAGGTTGGAAAATGATTTTCCCCCCGAATTTTTCTTCCCTGAATCCCCCGACTGCCCAAACGACTCGTTTTGGGTAGTTTTCTTTTTTTTTCTTTTTTTCTTCCCTTCTTTATGTCTGAAACGCAGAGAGGAAGAGGAAGAGGAAGAGGAAGAGGAAGAGGAAGAGGGAGAAGAAGAGAAAAAGAAAGAGAAAGAGAAAAGAGAAGAGAGGGGAAAAGGGAATGGAGAGAGAGAGAGAGGGTCGAGGTCATCGCCAATCGCTGCCGCCTCCGCCTCCGCCTCTGCCTCCAATTTCAGATCGATCGCAGCTTTTTTTTTTTTTTTTCTCCTGAAAATGTGTTGATGATGATGATGGTGATGTTGATGAAGATCTGAAGATGATGATGATGATGTTTTTGTTGATGATTTTTTCTCTCTCTCTCTCTCTCTCTCTCTCGAGGGTCGAGGTCATCGCCAATCGCTGCCGCCTCCGCCTCCGCCTCTGCCTCCAATTTCAGATCGATCGCAGCTTTTTTTTTTTTTTTTTCTCCTGAAAATGTGTTGATAATGATGATGGTGATGTTGATGAAGATCTGAAGATGATGATGATGATGTTGTTGTTGATGATTTTTTTTCTCTCTTTCTCTCTCTCTCTCTCTCTGCTACTCTCCTCTTTCTCCTTTCTTCTTCTTTAATTTTTCCTCTTCTGCGTTATTGGAAAAAAAAAAAATCAAAATGACGAAACGACGTCGTTTTGAATTCGAGGGGATTCGGGAAAGGGAAGATTCGAGCTCCATAGCATTACTGTAAAAGGTTTTACAATGGTCGTTAAAGGAATGAAAAACTATTTCATTATTTTTTATTTATTTATTCATTTTAATTAAGTTAAATATATTTATATTCAACACGCTATATATTGGGTTTTCATAAGAGATTTAAAGTTTTAGGCTGTGTTTGGAGAAACTTTCCAAACACATTTCTACCAATTGATTTCAGTGTAGTATTTGTTTTGAATTTTCAAATTATAATTTCACACCCACTTTTGAAAACTCATTTCTATGTGGGAAAATTTGGCTAACCCGGACGTCCGACTGGTTGACGAAACAATGTTCGGGTTTTTTTTATTTTTTGAATGAGCTTTGAATAGGATTTTGGGTTATGTGTTTGGTTATAAGTTGTAAGTTTTTGAATTAAATATTATATGTTACATCATTTATTTCAAATTAAATTCAAAAAAAATTTCAAAACTCATAACCAAACAAATTTTCACACTCAAATCATAATTTCAAAACTTACAAACTCAAAATACAACTATATTCTCAAATCATATTTAGAAAATTCTACCAAACATTACCTTAAATTTTGTTACATATACATTTTAATTTCTGATTTAAACGGAATAACTAAATTGAAATTAAACTTAAAGTATAAAAATTAAATTATTAATAATTGAGATCAAAGCAAAATTTTAGCCAAATTTTAAGAGTTAAAAGTGTAATTTAAATTATTTTTCCACATTTCACCAATGTTACAAATTTTGAAAAAGTTATAGCTGAATTATTAATAATTTTTTGTATTCACTATTTTTCCATATTTTATCCAAGAGAGAGAAATTAGAAAAACAATATCTATCTAATCAGTATGAGTTGTTAAAATAATAATAATAATAATATTAAAAATATCAAATTTTTTTATCAAATAATTATTTATTTAATAAAAAATTTAGAATTATAACATTTTAAAAAAATAAAATTCTAATCAGTATATATGAGTGGGTGATAGATAATTTCGGCCCGGGTGGAGCCACACGGGGGAACGGGTCGCGGCTGGATCACACGTTTCAAAGCGGTTTCAGCTTACGTGTCTCATTGTTAGCGGTCCATGTCATCGTCTGCCACAAGTGTGGTGGTGAAGCAGTAAAGTAGATATAAAAAGCCAAAAATACGGATAAGGAAGGAGAGAAGGAACCCATGAATGCATGACGTCCTCATTTATTTTATTTTCTATTTTTTCCCCGCCATATATACAAACCCCCCTCCCTCTTACTTCAATCGACCCCAGAGCACCTCCTCCTTTTCTCTCTCTCACCGCAAAAATCTCTCACCTGCGGCTATGGATCCATACAAGGTAATCGCTGATTCCTAAATTCTACATCGATTGATTTTGATTAGTTGTTTCTCATCAACTTCAATCAATTGATCGGTTGTTTGTGTTCGGTTAATTTGTGATCTCTCGATTTGTGTTTTTGTTTTTTTTGAATACTGAAAATCATAACTCTCGAATTGGTTTCTGATTATTTCAATTGACAGAGTATAATTTGCGTTATTTGCAAACGCTTCTTTTGATTGGATGTGTGGGTTTGCTTCATCAGAGATTGTTTCGAGCGTTGGTCTTGTTTTCTAAAAACTTCCGTAACTATATGACAGCACTATATGATAGTATATACTTACCAAAAATATATGTAACCCGGGCCCAACTATGGATTCCATTTCGATAATCTGTTGTTAGGTTCATTTTGTAGGCCTTATAGGTTGATGTGGTGAAAAGAATTAAATTGATATGTTATTATATTTGTCTAAACTATTAAATTGAAAAAATAAAAATAAAAAAAATTTGAAAACTCCAAACCAAAGAGAGTGATTATTTTGCATGATTTTATATTTTTTGATGTTTATTTTTGTCAAACTAGTTTATAATTTTTCAAAAAAATAAAACTGGAAAACAAGCTTTGAAAACTCAACCAAATAGTGTTATAGAATCGAGATAATCCAATCCCATATGATAGTATCTATGCTCCAAGCTTACTCTATTGTTTTTGGGTAAGTAACTTAACAAGCTTTCTCTGATTTTTTTGGTAAGTGGCTTACTTAGCTTACTCTATTTTGGTCGGTCGGTTTTACAAGTTTTTACAGTGTTTTCCACCTTTTTATTGATAATATTTGAGCTCTCTTTGGTTGCTGTGAAAATGAAAGGAAAAGAAAATTCAAGAAAATGTTGAAGATCTACATCCCATGCTTTTTCTGGTTTTCAAGTTGATGAAAAGCTTCCTTTTACTAAAGCCCAGTACTATTAAACACAACTTGGGGGGGTAGTCTATGGTCATTTTGATTCTTTGGTTTCCAGACAAGACAACATAAGCTCCAAGATTTTTGTTTTAAATTTCATGCTTTCTTAGTGACCAAACAAAGTAGGGGTGATTGTTTTACCTACACTGCCTCTCTTTATGTTTGTATGGTTTTCCATCTTCAATTTTTTGGAGTTCTGGTCTCTATGTGTGTTGATACATTTTTTTCCCCTCTTTTTCTATGTGTTCATTCCTCTTCTTTATTTTATGCAGTACCGCCCTTCAAGTGCTTACAACTCTCCTTTTTGGACAACAAATTCTGGTGCTCCAGTGTGGAACAATAACTCTTCATTGACAGTTGGAACTAGAGGTACTTCGTTCAAATAATTTAATTTGTGAATCTGAAAATATTTTACAGTTCCACAGTTGTATGTCAATAACAGGATTTTCTAGCAAGCGTTGTATGTGTAGCTTACTCTCTGTTTGGCAAGATTTTGTTTAATATGTTTGATATGCATTTGTATTGGTTGTGATGTAGGCACTGTTGAGACATCATTTTCATGTGTTTCTGAATAAATTACAGTTTTGTTGTGCAACCATTGCGTAATTGAGATGTCAAATTATGAAAGTGCTTCGGAGTATTCTAACATTATAATTGTCTAGGGATAAAAACAAGGAAATGGAAAAAATTATGGTTGTCATTACTATCATTCTTGTCATTTGGATGCCAAAAGTATGCAATTGATATTCTCTCCTTTTTTCTTCTTCTTTTTCTTGTGTGTGATATAGTGAATGTTTTATTGACAGATGGTCAATGTGGAAGACTAATAATAAGTTTTGAGCTAGCTGCCTCCAAATATGAAATTAAGAAGATCCATTACTTGTGACTTCCAGTATGTCTAAGCACAATAGCTAGAACATTTTCATATATTATCTTCTGATATGTAGATTTTGTATTGGTTATTCTTGGAATATTAGCATATGCAATTATTTTAATAGTAGGATTAATGAAGAATCAAGGCCTTTCATGTTCTCCTATATTGGATTTAAAAAAATAATGACGTGTACTATTATTCCCTACGAGTAATTTCTTACAATTTTGTTAATATTGTGCATGATAACTCCCAGTTCTTCATGAGGGATTTATAGAGTTTTCTTTCCGAAATCAATTGGCAGATGTCTATGCCTTTTTTTGTTTGAAAGCTTTCACTTGGTGATTTTCAAACAATTTCCCTCTGTATGTTGTTACATATGAAATGTTGATACTTCTTAAGGAACATACATGCAATAATGGTGGACAATTGAAATCAGTTGTATAATAATAAGAGATAGAAATAGAAATTTAGTTTACACTTGGTGCTTCTATTCTAATATTTGCTTAAAATGGTTATGATATAATACAAATTCTACTCCACTTTACAGGTCCAATTCTTCTTGAGGATTATCATTTGGTGGAGAAACTTGCCAATTTTGATCGGGAGCGTATCCCTGAACGTGTTGTCCATGCAAGGGGGGCCAGTGCCAAGGGTTTTTTCGAGGTCACCCACGATATTTCTCACCTTACATGTGCTGATTTTATGCGAGCCCCGGGAGTCCAGACACCTGTTATTGTTCGGTTCTCAACTGTCATCCATGAACGTGGTAGCCCTGAAACCCTGAGGGATCCTCGAGGTTTTGCTGTGAAGTTTTACACCAGAGAGGTGATTGATACTGTTTTATTATGCTTGCTTTCTGTTGTTGAGGTATTTTTTTATGATTGTCTGTTTGCTAACTTGGTGAATATGTCTGCCTCAACTACCCAGCAGAATGTGAACACATTGTAGGTAATCAGTAAGGCCATACTTTAGGAGTCCCTTAATAAATACTTGAAATATATGAAACCAAAACTTCATATGTGAAGACATTTATTTTGCTGCGGAGCTGCCTTGATTGGTTGCCATATCAGTTTTTTTGAATTTCATCTTGTTTTTGGCAGCAACTTAGGCTGCTTATCGATTCTGCTGACAGAACGTGATAATTTCTGTATCATTTATGAGATACAAGAATAATGCCAAAACTGTGAGGTGTTTTAACTCAGATGGAACAATTTAGAGGTTCTTCCTCTTCTTCTTCCTTAAATTAATCTCGGTGACGTGGTTGGTTGCCTGCAGAAAATGGTTAGATAAACATAGTTCCTGGATTATTCGTTGTTTTTATTTTGCGGATATTATAGACGTGATGCATTGGTCCTTATGTTGGTGTACATACATATAAGTCTTGTGTATTTAACTTCGTTTGGGAAGAGCTAGGGACGGAACCAGGATTTCGTCAATACGATATATAATATTTTTTTCACCGTATAAATAAACACACATGTATATACAATACGATATATAAATTATATATACATAAAAAAAAATTCAAATATTATATAAACAATTTCTAATAGGATGAAGAAATTTTTTTGTAGAAAATAAAAAGAGAATACAAGATGTGAGAATAATGAGATATATATCTTTTATACTAAGAGGCCATTTTATTTATTAAATAAGGTATACATAAATATATATTTAGAAGTGCTATGACAAACAAAATTTTTCATATAGTCTTCTCCTAGTTCAATCCCTGGGTAGCTCCGTTTGGGAGGAACTTTTGGCTCTTTTTGATTTGGATGTGATGGTTATGAGCGAAAAAGTAAAATAATTATTGCCAAAAAATTATTGGCTTATTGGCTTATTTAGTCTATTTTGTCTTTTTGTGCTTATTTAGGCAAAAAATTATTGCCAAGCGACAAAGTGTTTTGGGAAGATGGTTAAAAGTTATTTTTGGTTTTTTTTGGCTTTTTTGTGAGAGAGGGAAGTGGGTTAAAAGCTGGGAGGTGGCTTTTAACCCACTTGCCAAAATAGCCCGTAGTGTATTGGTCCTTTTGCATGTGTAAAAACATCAATCTACAAACAAATCTCAGTGGAATATATATTTTTTCCTCTTTGATTAAAAAAAGCTTTTGAGTTAGTGTACACACAATTAGTGTTGCATTAATATATAGCGGTTAACTGGTTAATAGAGTTGTAACCTAAGATGTATAATTAATATTTGCATTATTATGATCTTTTGCAGAATTAAGGCTTTCTTGGGTTGAGTTGGTTTCTTCTTGTTGTTCATGTTGTGACCTTTTTCATTGTGGACTCAGGGTAACTTTGATCTGGTGGGAAACAATTTCCCAGTTTTTTTTGTCCGTGATGGAATGAAGTTCCCAGACATGGTCCATGCTCTTAAACCCAACCCAAAGTCTCACATCCAGGAGAACTGGAGAATTGTTGACTTTTTCTCCCACCATCCAGAGAGTTTGCATATGTTCACCTTCCTCTTTGACGATTTGGGTATTCCACAAGACTACAGGCACATGGAAGGCTCTGGTGTTAATACCTACACCTTGATCAACAAAGCTGGGAAGGTTCACTATGTCAAGTTTCATTGGAAACCTACTTGCGGAGTGAAGTGTTTGTTGGACGATGAAGCCATTAAGGTTGGGGGATCTAATCACAGCCATGCCACCAAAGATCTCTATGACTCGATAGCAGCTGGAAACTATCCTGAATGGAAACTTTTCATCCAGATAATTGATCCTGATCATGAAGACAGATTTGATTTTGATCCGCTTGATGTGACCAAGACCTGGCCTGAGGACATCTTGCCCCTGCAGCCAGTGGGACGCTTGGTCTTGAATAAGAACATTGATAACTTCTTTGCAGAGAATGAGCAGCTTGCATTTTGCCCTGCTATTGTGGTACCTGGTATCTACTATTCAGATGATAAGCTGCTACAAACTCGGATATTCTCTTATGCTGATACTCAGAGGCACCGTCTTGGCCCTAACTATCTGCAGCTCCCAGCTAATGCTCCCAAGTGTGCTAATCACAACAATCACCATGAGGGTTTCATGAATTTCATGCACAGGGATGAGGAGGTAGTATGATCTTTTGTGCAAATACTGGCAAATGTTAGGTCTGTAACTGGTTAATACCTCCCAGCACTGGGAATATCTATTTTAGATCTGCATGCCTTGAGATTTGGATGGCAAATACATAGGCATAAGATACAACCTGTGATTACTTTTTGCTGTTTTTCATTTTGTTTATATTATGGTTTGATTGGATGCTGTGATGCTTTTCTAGGTAAATTACTTCCCTTCAAGGTTTGATCCTGTACGTCATGCCGAGAGGCATCCAATTCCTCCTTCTGTCTTGATGGGAAGGCGTGATAAGGTAAGTTGCCTATCATTAGCTTCAAATTTTGAAGTTTTGAGTTTGATTTGGGGTTGTTAAATGAGTTGAACAATGTAAGTTGCCCTCCTTTTTTATTTGTCTAAAATATATAGATTTCTTTGTTCCCAAACATCTTCTGCAGATTACTAAGTAAACATATGTTATGGTTTAAAACATGAAATTATTTGAAGCTGATGCTTGTTGGCATTGGTAATGGTGATAGAGTGGTGGTTGAAGTGTGGGAGTATGAGTGTAGAAAATTTAATGTATAAAGAGAAATAGAGAATTGTATAGATATTGATTGTATTATTGATAGATGTATTGAATGTTACAATGATTCCTATATATAGAAGAGTAGGTGGTAGTAGGTGGTAGTTTTTTTCCGGCGGGCAGTCGGCTGGCACCCATGCCTTTGCTGCCCGCTGGAATTTTCAACACCTCCACAGAGTATGGCTCAATCCCAAGCTTACTTCCATCAAACACAGAAGTTCCAATTGCCACGGATAGCCCACCAAAATACCACCACCTTCTTCCATCTATGAGCTTTGTGTTAGATTTATATACCACAGCACTACTACTACTACTTTCAGGCAAAGTTCGAGGAGGCTTGTTTGTTCCACCGAACAACCCTAAAAAATTGAACAAATTACTGAGGAAGCAATTCAAAGATACTGCTGGGAAGAATTGGTTTGACATGGTGGCCCAAACCCTCACCCCTGAGTTGAAGAAAGATCTCCAGCTACTCAAGTTGAGGAGCGTCATTGATCCAAAGAGACACTACAAGAAGGGTGATTCAAAATCGAGAACAGTTCCCATGTATTTCCAGGTGGGCACAGTGATGGAGTCGGCATCAGACTTCTTCACAGGTCGGCTTACTAAGAAGGAGAGGAAAGCAACCCTTGCTGATGAGCTACTCTCTGATCATACCCTTGGGGAGTACAGGAAGCGCAAGGTTCGAGAGAGTGAAGAACAGAACCGTCCTGGACGGGTGGAGAAATGGAAGATAAAAGGTGGACAGTCTTGGAAACGTGCTAAGCAAAGAAGACGCTGATGGCTTTCGATGTTGTTGACCCTGCAAAGGATATTTTTCTCCAGCTCAGATTCGGTTTACATCTCTCTCTCTCTCTCCGCAAAACCCACCATTTGTTTTTTAACCCACTTCCTCTCTCCACTCAAGGACATGCACATCTTTGTCCACTTTTCAACCCTTTCCTTCCTCTTTTTGCACCCCACTCACAGATTCACACACCATCACTAGTTTTTCAAATCATTATTTTATGTTTTATTTTTTCTTTTTGATCATTACACCATTGCCCCAACATCCTCCACTCACAAATATTCTCCCTTTTCTTTCTCTATTTTTTATTCTTATTATTATTATTAAACACAACAAAAACAAACCACACCCGACACACCCACTATCTCTTACAATCATTTATCATTTTTAATATGTAAACATATACATAGATATACATTGACTTCAATTTCTTTTCTTTTCTCTCTTTTCTTTTCTTTTCTATCTATCATATATATTATTATTATTATTATTATTATTATTATTAAAAAATAAATAAATAAATAAATAAAAAAATAAAAAATAAAAATAAAAATAAAAACCAAAAACCAACACAATTTACCAATCTGCACAACAACTCATATTTTATTCATCTCAGGGATCAACCCTGATCGAAAAAAAAAAAAAACAAACAAACCCACAAACAAACAAACCACCACAGCACACCCACACCCACAGTGGGATTTTTCTTCTCTACTCTGCTGCAGGTCTCTTCTTCTTGCCTCCATCCTGGACGGCCCTTGCCGGTATTGCCTCCGTGTTTCCCACTCCACTGGGCACGATCACTACTCCCTGCTCCTCCACTGCAGCATATGGCGGTCCTCCAAATCGGAACATCACGGTGGCCTTCCGCTTCAGCTCCTTGTTTTCTGCCCTTAGCACGCTTATCTCTGCTCGCGCATCCTTATACATGCGTTGGAGCAGAGCCAGCTGGGAGTTTAAATGCTGCACCTCATTTGTCCTACTCTGCAGCCGGTTCGAAAAATTTGTGACCGCCGTCATGCTTTCCACACATGCCTTCATACCTCACCATCTGTAATTTACACCATCTGTAATTTATACAATCAATCATACAAATCAATCAATCAATAATACATATATGTTTACATGGTATCAGAGCCATAAGATTTAGGCCTATACTCCTTTCTTTCCGGCGGGCAGCCGGCCGGCAACCTTGCCTTCGCTGCCCGCTGGAATTTTGTACACATACCTTCACTTTCCTGCCTCTTCCAACTTTCTTACAACTGTTGTCCCATAGATGGGCTTCATATCTACCAGTCCATCTATGCCTTGTGACACCTCTATACTGTGAAGTCCTCTGTCCAAATGTAAATGTTCGGGGGCCAAAACGCGCAGTTCGGGGTCCCGAAAATGGGCTGTTAAG